CCTCACTAACTAGAGGTTTTTATTCACTACCACATTATTATTAAGTAAAGCATCTCTTTCAATAACTACTCGCCAGTCGGAACGAGAACCATCGTGACCAATCAATCCATCGGACCCTCATAGGATCCAGTTGGCTAGACTAATCTTTACAGGGGCAGAATCTTATTTTCAAAGTATCACGGATTCACAATCCATTGGAGAAGAGTATAAACAGAGCATGTGATGCTTATTAGGAGAGTCAATAAACATCTACTATGACTCAACTAAATAGTCAACCACAAGGGGTCCTCTCGAATATCTAGACAGAGACGGACCTAGCACCCGGTCGGGGGGAGGGGGGGCGGCTGCGCGTGCTGGACTTCGCCGGACAGTCGGAGCAGTTTGGGATTGCCGCCGAGTCACCGACAGCCGCCGGTTCGTCTTCTTCCTCCAACCCTGCTACAGTCCCTTTTTTGGGGTTTGAGATTGGGCCAATTTGGCAGCCCAACATTTTTTTGGTAATTGGGCCAATAAGGCCCACATTTGCTACCCATGGGTCTTAAGTCTTATCTTCACTCCATTCCTCTCTGAAATCTGAAACCCCTACTCGTTAGAAGTCTAAATCTTCCACTGCCTTCCTTCAAACTCCAACTCCATTTTTGCATAATCATTACCACAATAATCACTACCATGTATCTTTGTAGAATCTTCATAGAAGAAACTATTTTCACCCCACGAAGTGTTTAAAATGGTGTTCTTAGTGTTTATGAAAATAGAAGATAGAAAGAGATTTGAAAAAGGAAGAACGGTCTTAAAGAATCATCTTCACCCAAGAAAGAAAAGAAGTCGAAATCAGGCGGGAAATCAATGAAAAAGGTGAAATTCGCTCTCTGGACACCATTTTTTATGGGTATGTTGATTATGATATGAATTGGGTTGTATGACCTGATTTGGACAATTTGTGACCTATTTTTGGTCATTTGCGATCGAAATAGCATTTTGTGACCTATATGAATTGGGTTGTATGACTGATTTGGACAATTTGTGATCTATTTTGGGTAATTTGTGACCTAAATAGCATTTTGTGACCTGAGTAATATTTTATACAATGTTTTGGATATTTTGTGACCTCAATAGTATTTTGTGTTTTGGGCATGATCGGCTCGAGGTTTCGTAACTTGATTTTACCTTCACATGATTTGGATAATTTGTAACATATTTCATCATCTTGTATTCTTGATAAATGTGACACGATTTTGCTTTATTATTAAGTGTTGATATGCTCTCTGTTTACAAGTATACTGTCTTTTATGTAAGTTAGGTTTTATGACATTGTTCTAATAAATTTTGATAGCTTTTTGTAATGAAATGCGACCTGATTTAGATAGCATGTGACATGACCTTGATAAGTGTGACATGTTTTGTTATATTATTACTTGATCGTTTACGTATATATCGAATAATTTTAATATTATGTAATTAAATATTAATAAACGAACTCGTTTTTAATATCGCTGATTGTCGCCCCAGGCTGAACTTTGACACTAGATCCGCCCCTGTATCTAGATAACATTATTTAAGTGCACTCTTGGGCATCTTAAGAGAGTTCATTTTCTATTATCCTTAAAGACTTCATTAACATAACCATTGGAGTGGCCCCTCTTGCAGGTGTAATCAGTGTTTACAAGGTTATCCTATTAGACACTGCTTAAAATTGACGTAAAAGTACCGGCTAATTTTTTTGTTTTTTTTTTATAACCATGGATGTCCCGGCTAACTTACGCGCACCTCGACTAATTCCATGGAGCCTTGAAGTTGACGGTTGGATACTCACCTCAGTGGCCCTGAGAGAAAATGTACCAACTAATTTTATTGCAACAAATATGTTAGATCGGGGTGGCAGGGAAGAAAATGATACTCGTTTAGTGGTCAGAAAGCCCAACTATCATACATTAAGTATACTTTTATAGTTGATTTTTTAGTTTTCTAATATATGCATATTTAATGTGTATTGTTATCAACAAATATGAACTACTCATATTTAAACAATTATTCAATATAGGGGTATACTATGAAAAATGTAAGTAAAATTTATATTTCCAACTATATTAATTACATTTTCTTAATCTGTATAAAAACGGAAGCAAATCTATCTTTATGGGACATAAGGAATACAAAAGTTCACAAGAATGGACAACTGTACAAGTACACAATATTCAGTGGGAACATTATAACCCACACATTAAAGTGGGGAAATGAACCTCTGGTAGCAGGAATTAAAACCACACACAAAGTGGAAGAACAGTGTAAAACTCGCTTGTGACATTATAGGAAAATAAAATAGCAGCGAACTGAAGTATCAGCATCTGCACTAACGAGAAGCATTTGCTAAATAAAGAAAGATTCTTTCACAGAAATCAAGCACCATCCTTCACCGCAGAAGCCAAGTTAGTCAACAAAACACATAAAGTAGGTTTGGTGTCTTTTCTGCCATTTATGCTTAGCAATCCACTTAATATTAAAGAAGACACATGAAAAAAGAATACATCTCTCCTCTACCCAAGAGACCAATGGAGCTAACAGCCTAGGAACTTGAGCCATTTAAGCTCAAGCTTAGTTGATATGACAACACATTGTCAGAACTAAATCATGTTGTAAATTTAAGCGCTGAGCCTTTTGGTGCTCAAACACAACATATAAGGGAACTGGACAAACCTTCACCATAGCATGGAATAAAAGCATGATTGTATACGAACAAATTGTTTATTAACGTCTCTATTTATTCAACAATAAAAAAGAGATGATGCCAACACACATTCATATTACATAGATTTGTGACACAAGTTAAACAGAGCATCTTCTGCTAAAAGATCACTCACAGGCAATTTTCCAATAGCTTCCAGCATCCACTCTCTACCAGATAAATGAGTATGGATGGAGGACACAAGAATCATCCATTAACAGGAGCATCTAAAATTTCACTGTTACTTTTAAGCCAGCCATTCTGATTAACTCTGATGCCAGATTCTGAAAATGTGATACCTAACAACTCTTCTTTGGAGATAGAAATACGTTATGAGAAGGCTTTAATAAGCAGGTCATCTATTTTGCAGATTAACCTCAATCCACTGCTTCTGATGCTTGAGAATTCTTCTCTTCAATTAAAGTTTGAACTCTCTGCAAGAATTTTCATATAAGTTCCATAACAAGACAGAGGACACTCAGTGGATAAAGTCGACTCGGTTCTTCTAACCTTTACTGAACTGCCAACCTCCTCCAGTTTTTGCAAGATTGCCAGCTCGCTGGCAAAAGTTAATGAATCAGGCCTTGGGGGTTTTGAAGGGGACATCTGAAAACAAAAATAAAAACGAATGAGAAAAGCAAAGGTTTTGGTGGGGGGGTGAGTCAAACAACATCTGCAAAGGATGAAAGCATAATACTTTATAATTAAGAATAACAGGATTTTAATATGAGTAATCATAGAGCAGATAAGGAAGGTTTCATGTGCCAGCAGTATTTTTAAAATACCAAAGGAATTGGTGAGTGACTAATCCTCGAAGTTGGAACATCTTCAATTGCAGAAACTTGTCTAGGTAAAACCTCCTCTCTCATGCTAGATATGCGCATAAGAACGGCCTAGAGAAGGTATCAAAATTAGAGTGTAAACAATTATTTACTCAAAAGAAGATTCCAATGATAACAACTGGAGCACAGAATTACCTTTCTGAAAGCATGAGGGTTAGCAACTCCTTTGATTTGAACATCGTCACTTGAGGGCCTTCTCACACCAACGTTTTCAATTCTAATCGAGTATACACCAAATTGGGACTGTAAATATCCTGACAACATATCAATTTAACAAATATTGTAAAAGATAAAACGGCCAAAGTTTTTAAGTAGCAGAAAATGAGACCTAAGAGTGGTTCCTGGCCTTGAAACAATAAATATTACAAAAAGGACACTAGGAAAAACCCGAAATGAATTATAAAAAACACACAAAAAGAAAACAGGACCAAGCTACTACAGACGAGCATCATTTCTCCTCCAAAATACTTTGCAAGTCCATCTCTAACTTCCTGCCATAGACTGGGATGGGGGATGATTAGTTTTGATTCAAACAAGTAATTATGTCTGTGACAGTAGATCAAGACACAAAGTCGAAAAAAATGAATGCCCTGCCCAGAAAACTAGTTGACAACACCAGGGGGACTAACATTGATTGAGCAGTTTACACAGTTCTCCCCATGTGGGTTCACATGAACAATAAGATCAGATAATTAAAGAACTGCTAGTTTCCTTTTTATTTTTGATAAATCAGAAAGAAGGGCACAAAGAACCCTTTTACCCACCAGCGTAAATTCAAGTTTAAGCCACAAATTTTTAGCATCCCATCAAAATCACATCATTACAGACCCCTGACTCTTACCATGCATAGATTATTATAAAAATGCAAAACAAAATAGATCACGGTTGCCTTTACCTTGTTCTATTACAACGTCAGCAACTGAAGGCAATAGAACATACTTCTCTTTCTTCAAAAACCCCAAAAAGGGAATCGGCACGGGCCTTTTAACCTGAGCAAAACTCAGCATTAATCAAATGGGCATAAAATTATACAACATTATACGCAAAGCTTAGGCTGTGATGAACAAAATATTAGATAGTCCCCCTTTTTTATAATCGAATTGCACTTTTCAGTCCATTTGTCGTTGAGAATTATAAACCCCAATTCTATCCCACCAAGAGCAATTAATTTAAAGAAAGAAAATAAATAATCACGCAAGATTTACAGAGATTCGCCTCAATGTGAGACCTCATTATCTCCCGCTGCAGCAATTCATTATGATGAAATAAGGTTTACAAGAGAAAATATCAAACCTACCTCCTCTAACCTGTCTTTCTCTCTAGTTGATGATAATACATAAAGCCTAAGGACAGCTCCCTATTTTAAGATAAATTAAGACAAAATCGATTTTTACAAGGATTCCTTTTCCATCATAGAATTTTATAATACAGTCCTTAATTAAAATTTTCGTCCGGGGGCTCCACCCCCACCCCTGGGAGGGGGGTCACCTGCCCCCTTCTAACCCCCAAGGTGACCTCACAGCAGACGTTGATCCGCGAAGTGGCAATAATTAAGGCTCCGTACTAATTAGGCTCTACGGTTTAACAAGAATCTAACTTAGCACCACCAAACATGGTCCTTCACAGAAACCAAATCCTCTTCATTAATCCTATCAAGGCTATATCTGCTTTTGTCTATTTAACAAGTAACGATCATAATACTTGATCACAAAATAATTTCTGAACTTTGATATGGGAAATTCTCCATATATATTGGGCTAACTAAATCAACAGAAATAATACAAATTAAATAGCGCTAGTAGCATCATACCCCCAAAACCATATAGTAAAAACAATACACTAAAAAAAACAAAATATTTCGAAAAAATTCAACAAATTACTTTGTAAACAATGGCATTGGGAGTGATATAGAGTTTACGGGACCGGATATCTTTCCGCAAAATGTAACGCCGGACCGGCAAATAAAGCAACATGAACAGACCGATGCCCCATGCCAGTATCAAAAGCAACGAGTACAAAACCCATTGAGCCGTTTGGTATTTCATGAAATTCTCTTCGGCTTCCTCAAACGACGCCTTGTAGAGAACCGGTTCATCTTCTTCTTCATTAGGATTGTCAGTCGGTTCAGAGCCACTGTTTGAACCAGCGCCTGGCAACAATAAGCCCCGTTCCAGGCGGTCTATTTCCACCACCCCATCTTTCGATTCCATTGAAAAATATGAGAAAAATTGGGAATTTGGGAAGAGAGAAAAATTGGGAATTTGGGAAGAGATTATTGAATGTTTGTCACTGGTTTGTGACGAAGAGGACAAGTGAAGGTTTAGTTTGTTGGGTTTCTCGATGGGAGGGGCGCGTAGCGTTTATCAGTTATTTCAGATCTATTCCGTTGATTATAATCTAGTGTGCATATTGCAATTATTATGAATAGAAAGTTCTTGGGGAAAAATATTTTTGAATAATAATTTTATAAAAAATATGTAGTTAAAAAAAAAAGAAAAAAATTTAGATTTATGAATTATATTATTTTATTGAAAAATAGGTGATGGAAATGAACATAGAAAAAATGCATTTTGAGTAAAATGAACTCTAAATATGGGCAAAAACAATCTTTTAACCTTTTTCATTTTTACTTGGTAAGTGCGCAACTATTGAAGTAAATTTTAAAAGGTTTCATTACAATATTCATTTCGCGAGGTAATTGGATGATACCCTAAATAGTTCTAACAAGATTGAAAGATAGTTCGATTAAGGGGTGAATCGAGACTTTTTGTATTGTGAGGTCAACAATTAAAATGTATACAATGGAAAGAATCATAGCCAATAAATCCACAGGAATTTTTTTTTCCAGCAAAAATAAATGGAAGATAGATGGAAACCCCGAACATAATGTTGGCATAATGTCTATCATTTCTCAATTTGAATGCAAAATCAACTTACACAAATGAAATTCTAAGAAAATAAAGATAGTCTTACAAGACCAAATTTTAAAATGATATTATTTACATATTCGTCTATCTCTTCCATTGAAGATATTTTCTGTAGTTGGAGTTCAACTGCAAGAGAAAATGTTTTTCGAACAGTCAACTGCGAAAACAAAACATCTTCATACCTAACATAGGCGAAATCACTCAAATTCCTCGACATTAAATTGTACAAGAGAAATCAATCATGAAAAGCCTCAAAAAGGTTGTAACCCGTGTAGCTATGTCAACAAGCCGAGCCCGAGCTGAAAAAAAAGCTCGGGCTTGGCTCGAACTTTTTTAGGCTGAGTTTTTTTAGGCCCAAGCCGGTTTGCTCGGCAAAAAAAAAAAAAAAAGAGGTTCTGNAATTAAATAAAAAAGTTCGGGCTCAACTTGAGCTTTTTTGGACCGAGTTTTTTTGGGCCCGAGTCGAGCCATATATAGCCCGACAAAAAATGAGGCTCGGCCCGAGCCTTTGCTCGGTGTAACCGAACCCGAGCCGAGCCCGGCTTGTTCATTAAATGTAATCGATTTCATATTTAATGAAGTATTGACTTATTTTTTTTTCAAAATACATTATCATATTGAATGAGAATTGATTATCACCATTAATGTTCTACAATAATAACCTCCTAAATTTTTTTGAAATAACTGTTTTGAAACCAACCCGACAGCTTGTATTTAAATATTCGAATAGTGTTTCAAACTGTCGAATCCCGACAGTTTACAAACTGCCTGGATACACAATTCAACTGTTGATTTCGACACTTGAGAATTGTTGAAAACATTGATTAGTTGTTTTCCACATTTGATGGTATTGAATGTCGATATATTGATTGTGCTGACTTCTTACAGTTACAATCCCAATATTTCAGGTATGAGTGATGATTTGAGATTCATCATCTCCTACGGGGGAAATTTCGCAAATGTGGATGACGAATGGAAGTGGAGAGGGGACAAAACCACTTCCATTTTAGTGCCGACAAATATTACGGTAGCCGAACTTGCTTTACAGTTGAAGGAAAAACTCGGTATTATTGATCCCCGCTGTGAAATTGAATTGAAGTTCAGATTCCTCAACTTAAATATACCTCCGGCTGAAATACGCGAAGACGAAGACCTCAGTTTGTACATATCGGTTCATAAGGAAACT